GGGGGGCTCAAACCCTCGACTTCCCGCACAACAGTCCAGTGCTCTATCCATTGTGCTAACCGGGAGGTGGTCAAAATAATAAAACATTTATATGGCACTAAATTAATAAAAGCAAGGACTTACAAATTTTATTCTGTAGCCAGACTTAATATCTTCAAATTCTTCAACTTCTAAGGATGTCATGTATTGCAAAGCTTCCTCGTCTTCCTCATCTATATACAACTGCATCTGTGGATGATTTATAAACTGTGCAACAAATGTCAAGGAAATTTTTTTCCAGAGTTTAGTTTACCATGGGTAGTGTACAGAAATCAATTTCCAGCTTGAGAGTTTCAAAACTGATTTAAGAAATTACCACTCAAAGATGAAATATCTAATGTGATGTACCAAAAATCACATGGTTTGTATATGTGATATGGACTCCGAGAGTTCTGAATATTTCTAAATCAAAGTTAAATTAAAGGGCATTGATCTAGAAATATAGAAAGGAATAGTTAAAAGTAACAAGAGAAAACACATCCCAATGGTTCCATGTATTGATGAAAAATAGCACCAGCCACAAAAATTCAGTTGGAGTATTTTAGAATATTAACCCAAGAAATCTTTTATATTCACTGGACACCTTGTTATATTCAAGTTTAAGCATTTCTAAAATGCATTTTTAAAAGTCCTTAAATATCAAAGTATAAATAATAATCTATTACTTAAATACTAAATTAACAAGGCATTTCATTCTAAAGGATTCAATTCAGTGCTTAACCTTGAAAAATTTAAAAATCTATCAACAGATCAGTTTATCTTTAGAAAATACATGTGGCTAAAGTGATTGATGGTCCTCAAGAAGTGACTAATTTCAAATTTTTTCCGGCCCCACATTGTAATCTGTTTCACTTCCCGTGGAATTTCGTTGGGGGTCTGGTAACTAGAATGTAGATACTCTGTTCTTCCTCCATCTTGATTTGTCGCTCTCACTTGACTTGGTCAAATTTCACTGATTTTCTAGCATGTATCTCTCTTCAACATCAAAGACTTAAATTTTTCGCAGGCTGCAGAAATATAGTGTTAACAAATCCAGTCTTGGCCGCGTAAAGCATCATAAGTGGTTCCTTCGCGAATTCAATTAGGGTCAGTTCCGATTATTGCATCCAAAATGAAAAATGTAAATTGAAAATTAGTCAGTAAGGGTTACCTAACAAGGCTTATATGATCAATACATCTGTTCTTTGAAGGATTTATAACTTAAAGCCATATGGAAAACACGCCGCTAGTAAATTAACAAAATCGGGGTGAATTTTACGATGCAAATGTACGGATCGTTGCGTTACTCGAGGAAAACAGATAATAAACAGATATATTCGTGCATTTATTAATATTGTTCACTAATGAAAAAGCTTCCTTCGCAACCGATCTCCTGATGTTAAATGGAACAATAAATTTAATAATTCTGTTTAATTTCGTTAAAAGAGAGAAGATTAAGGGAATTAAGCTTAACCAGTGATCCCCTACTTCAAAATATGCTAAAATGTTCCAGGCAACATGTCACAGACCTTTACCCAGTGTTCAACATGAACGATGTGTAGAGAAATTTTGGGACAAAACGAAAGTAACAAAAGGATACAACCGTCATCCAGAAGTTTGGTATCTTTTTCGTGAGGTCCGTTCTCTGTTCAAAGTGTGGTTTTCGAAGTCGGTTGTACTTCTGCTCAACTTTTAAAATCTCCTCGGACGCTTGCTCATTTAGTGCGTCGATTTGATTCTGTACAGCATTGATTTCTTCGATGATTTCTTGCTGATCGGAATGCGAATTTTGTGCTCCGTCAACGGGGTCGACCTTCCGGATCTTATTTGGAGTTACACTTAGATTAGACATGATAAAATATAAGACTAATTCTCTAAGCTCACTCCAAGTTTCCGAACTTTCTTTGAGTTCGGAGATGCCCGCGTTCTTCTTGTCTACTTGGGAGTATCCGCTGACATAATATAAGCTGTTTTGGCGCCCTTTTCTCGCTGAATAAGGGTCAAATGGTTATTGGTTGGGTATAAGGGAGGGAGGGTAGGGACTCGTCATCAGGTCAATATGTTTTTCCACCAGCAAAGAGACTCTAGCGTTCATCAAAATACTTTTGTAGAGAAAAGTGTGATTATATTTGGCTTCTTCTCAAATGAGCTCTCCTCTCCACCGACCTGCAAAGGGCGAAGCCGTCGCTTCGAGCTGTCCATAGCGTTTAGTTGAGTGCTCGTAAAACGCCTTTAGAGATGGAATTACAAAAAGGGGTCAAGCAAAAAGGGATCTTCACAGGTGGACCGAAATTTTAACGATTGCAGAAGGAAGCCTGAAAAAATTTCAGACTTGACGGAGTTCCAACTATTGCCCCCAGAAACTAGTATTCAGTTGTTTTTCATCCGCAAGTCAAATGAAATTTAAAAAATGGGCCGTAAATGATTGAGATCTACCTCAGTGGAGGTTAAAAAGCTGTGAATTGAATATTCATGTGCCCGCGTTAATTTTCGGCTTAAAGAGACTTGTCAGAAATGAACAGGGGGAAAGTAAAGTCGAATAGATGAGTTCGAACAGTTTTTTCACACTTGAAATTGAATGATCTTGAGATGATTGATAGCCAGAAAAAAAGGAGAGTCACAAGAAGCTACGCTAACATAGCCTGAGTTCAGCCGCCGTTTATTCTAAACTCCGTCAGGTAATATAACCGGATGTACGCAAGCTACGCTAACACAGATGTCAAATTTCATACAAACGCTCCGTAGAGTTTTCTTGGGGGGAGGGCTGTCTCGGGTACCCGACGACCGTATAATTGGGGCCTCAGAGAGCAGTTAATAATAAGAAGAACAATGATAACAACAAACACAGTGGTAATTCAATGTAAAAAGGACAGCACCCGTAATAGGACTTTCCTTTTCGGGAATGTAGACTGTAAAATTATTTTCTAAGGATTGGGGGGTCTTACACAATTGAAACTTGAAACATTCCAGGTGCCTCTGTGTTACTATTGTAAAACGTAACTTTACTTAGTCCTTAACAACCCTTAGCAGCGCTTTTGCTCTCTACGCTGTAGAGGAAATAGGCTTTCCTGAGTCTTATTTTATTTATTCAGTCTATCAATCAGGCGACCGATAAATGAACTCCAAGACTACAATTTATATTCACAATATGGAGTGATTGGCATGTAATATCATGACATTGCCTTGAAGTAGAAAGACTGGTTACGAGTGGAAGGAGGCAAATAAATACCCGGGGAGCTAAGCGGCCTGAATAGCCATGGAATGGTTCGGTTACACAGCTCGAGAAAGAAAAACCCACGTGAATGTGATGCAACTTGCACATAATTTACGGCAGTAGTGAAGTTAATCAAAATTCTCTTCTTCAAATTCAGTAAGAACGATGTTGAGATCTACCTTAACAACCGTAAGAACTGCTGTTTTACAGCCCGAGCATTCCAGGCAACTGAATATTTACGTTCAGCTGTCGCGTTTACTGGGGACAAAATTTAGATATTGCACTGCTCAGTCAAGTCCCAACAAGAACGCAACTACGTCGAAAGAAAGCGTTGAATCTGATCAGAAATCCTCGCAGCCAGGAGGGAAAGCATCAGATACTGCCACTGAAGTTAAAGAAACCGAAAACGACCGTCTTTTAAAAGAAAAAGAAAGTTTGATAAAAGATCTTCAGGTAGGTGAAAGACTTCAATGGCAGAAGGACACTGTAACAGCACTCTAAAGGAGATCATGAAGCTATGAACTAAAAGATCTTTAAATTATATATTTAATTTTTAAGACGTACTCGATGCTGGGAAACTTTGCACGGTAGTATGAAGACGGTTAGGAAAAGAAAAATTCACAGGATCGATGACTTTGTTATAGTGCTCTATATCTAGAATAATTTTAGTTATGTCAGCGCAAACATTTGCGTAAAGGACTTATGTTACAACGTCCTGTAAGTCACCAATATTTGCAGATTACTTGAAAAAGAGAAGGAAAAATTATAGGCACCAAATATTGCTTAACGTTTGAATGTATTCAGTTACCTAATGTTCACTGAGATAGCATTCAAATCAGTATAAGGGAGAGTGTTTGTTGATGGGGTTTCACTTCTGAACATGAACATTGTGATTAAGTCTCAAGTAAAGCCTGGTTCACATATGATCGCAGGCGATCGCACTCGATCGCCAGCGATCGTCTGCGATTATATGTGAACAGCTGTGCGATTGTCTGCGATGGAGTGCGATCATATGTGAACAAAGTTCTGTGATCATACGATTGGAATGTGTCCAATAATGTGGCAAGCGGCATGATACCAAGACAACCAGTTGTTTATCAACTTTTACAAGTGCATGTGTTTTGACAAGATGGAAGGTCAAAATTGACACAGAGCAGTTTATGGAAGAAATTAGAAAATACGATTGTTTGTTCAATCGCTTTAGCAAAGAATTCTCTCTTTCTTAAGACTTTCTGCACCAAGAAGGGATGTTTCTTCTTTGATCTGGCAGCAATTCTCCCTTTAAGTAAAGACAACAGAAGCAGAATGTTAACATCTTTTAATTAAAAGTTCAGCATCCTTTGCGTTTATGTTGGTTGACTGGAGTTACATTGTATTACCGCTGAATGGTAAGCCATGGACTCAGTTGTCACAGATTGCTTCGATCATATGTGAACATGCAATTCATGATCTTTGGTTGAGTGGTTTCAGTGGTCGAGCGATCGTCTGCTATAATATGTGAACCAGGCTTGAGTGATTCTGTTGTCTGATGTAATCTGTCAATCTACCATTGCCCAATCAGTAAACAAACCAATTAAGGCTGGTTTTTATTTATAATGGAGTTGAAGCCATTTAAAGCGAAGCAAAGCAATTTCTGGTGAAATCTAGCCAACAAAATAGAAAGAAAAAATATCAATGACACTTTAAAACTCTGTAAAAACTGGATTGTGGGAGGTGTGAGCCTGTAGATGGCCAGAGAACTGGCCAAGAAATCCATTGGTTCTTCCTCTTCTCCTTGTGACTCCAACAATGTGGTTTTCACTGGATTATAAGCATGGGAGTCATAAACAGAATCAGAAGAAGATGAAACTGTTCTGGTTCTTCTGATGTTGATTCCCTCTGGCTTATGACTATGCTTACAACTTCAATTTTGGATTTCCACTGAGGTGAAATGCTCCTATGATGGACTCTGATTTTTTTATTCTCACTGGGTTGTAAGAGCACTTATGACTGACTCTGTCAGTAGTGAGAACCTGTCTTTAGTCAAACAAACATGCTTACTAAATGCTTTTTCTATCCTGCTTATGTTACAAAAAAAAAAAATAATAAAATAACTGATGACTTTTCTATTTCAGGACAGGTACAAACGTTCCCTGGCAGATAATGAGAACATATTATCCCGCAGCAGGAAGCAAATTGATGAAGCCAGGCTGTTTGGTATTCAGGCCTTCTCCAAAGACCTTCTTGAAGTTGCAGACATATTAGGAAAAGCAACGGAAACTGTTCCCAAGGAGGAGATAGATAAGAATACTCACTTGAAGAACTTGTATGATGGGCTTCTAATGACTGAAGCCCAGTTACAGAAGGTTTTTAAGAAGAATGGTTTAGAGAAAGTGTATGCACTACATGAAAAATTTGATCCACACAGTCATGAAGCATTGTTCCAGATTCCATTACCAGATAAAGAGAAAGGCTCTGTTGCTGTTGTTGAAAAAGTTGGATATAAACTGCATGGAAGGACACTTAGACCAGCTCTTGTGGGAGTTGTAAAAGAATAGAACTTTGGATGATGTTTTTATTCATTAAAAATTATAGGTTTCTGGATTTTAACTATGCTTAGTGATAGTGGTGGGGAAAAAAAAGAATCCTGGCAGCCACATCCTTGTAAGACTGCATTACAATCAAATTTGTAATATCATTATCACATGCAATTAAGTTTATATAATTAATTGTCTACCATCATGCATGTACAGTACCTGCAGTATCCCCTTAAGCTTTCCCCAAAGCTTGAAATTCACAAATACCAGGGCAAAATGTAAATGTGCTTCGTGCAAGTTCATGTATTGAAAATATGTGCATTCGACCTGCTTTCCCCCCCTAACCCTCTCACCTTTCAAATATTAAAGACTCTAAATCCAAATTATGATTTACCTGCGAGATACATTGACAATAATTATTTCCTTGCTTGTGAGGCTAGAGGACCTTAGGTCTTATCAATGATCATAAGTCAAATGATTTCTTGAAAATATGTTAAATCTTGAGCCCTTAAAAACAGATCTCATGTTGCTTGCTCCTTATTTATCCAATTGCCCTCAGCTGCCTAGTGTAAGCAGAAATCTAGAATGTTAACAATGCTTGGAGAAAATGCTATACATAACAACAACCCTCTGATATTTCCTGAATAATAGCTTTTCATGCCCACATCAGTTGATCATGTCTACTTGAATGGTGTTGAACTTTCTATTTCATAGTTCCTTGACCATGAACTAACATATTGATATTTGGTGTGTGTCAATGTGTATAACTTTCTGTTAGTAAATTAGTGCTTAATGAATTTATTTGTAAGTATCTGAGGTTTTTCCTTTGTACTTTGAAACTGATATGGGACATAAATGGAAAATTTTTTTTTTTTTTCAAAATTCGCATTATTTGTAAAGCTCCTAACCTCTGTGTGCAACATTCAGTTTTGTACAATAATATCAGCAATTTCTACACAGTTCGTGTGAATGTATTGGGTAAATTAAAGTTGAGATAGCTCTATCCTGAGCAACTGCCAGGTTTCCTATAAGAGAACCTTGTTCAGCAAGGATTTTCATATTACTAAGGAATTTGCTCCTCAATGTTACTTTGATCAACTGGGTTAGTTAGGCTAAGATTTAGTAAAATTCACTACACTGTGTTCTTGTCCTTTTATTGTCATTTGACTTGTTCTTCCTGTTACCAGCTGTGTCATAAGCGTTCTTTTACTAGCCTGCAGTGCCGGCGTATTTTGGGCGCACGCGTGCACATTTTCGTATTAGGCCGCCATCTTAGATTTGGTAACTGTGGAGGACTGGGGCGAGGAAATATTTGCCGAGGGAGTAGGTGTTAAGTGGAAAATGGGCAACGGGGAAGAGGGAGGGGAAGGAAAAAAAAAAATGTACCATTCTTGGTACAGATGACGTAAGCAAATGCAAAGACTATTTTTCCGCGCGCGCTTGTTTTTTCTGGTCACGTAAGATCTGTTAAATAAAAGGGAACTCTTAAGCTACAATGTATCAATGTTATTTTATAAAACAAATGGTAAACACCACAGCGTACGCTATTGAGTTATGGATGCACTTGGGAGGTTTGCTAAGCACTCAAGAAGCTAGAGTCNCGGCAAAGTGAAGGCCGTAAGTTAGATAACTCATTGGGTTAATTACGTCACCTTCGTTAAATAAAGAATATATTGTATATTGTATTGTATAAAGTGCACAAAAAAAACCTACACAGAGGCATTGCTATTGGCAACAATGGTAATGAACCGTTTTTATTAAATTTCTGCTATTTTATGGCTAGCTCAACAGGCTTTCGGATGTGTATATTGGTCTACTTGTTTAAACGTTAACTTTATTAGTTTCGCTACGACGAACGAAATTGTGGCTTACCTCGGACCGCAAGAACAAAAGAAATTTCCAGTAGGAACTCAGTCGAATTTAGCTGTTATCAGGGCTATGCAAAGAAAATGATGAATTTATCAGATGAAAATTCAAGCAGTCTCGACCCCATGATGAATCCAGAAGCCTTTTGCCAGCGCATTCAAAATGATCTAAGTGATAAGATACGGCTCAACGCAGCCTTCACCATTTCTGCTTTGAATCTACCCATCTGGATTCTCATCTTATCAGGGAATTCCATCATCTTAGTCGCCCTCAACAGGGACACCTCTCTACACCCGCCATCTAAACTTCTTTTCCGAAACTTGGCGTTCACAGATCTCTGCGTTTCGCTTATCACTCAGCCCTTGTACATTCTGCATTACATGATCATCGCTTACGAACGCTGGGATATTTGCCCATTAACACAAAAACTAAGTCATATCACAACGTATTTACTATGTGGCGTATCTCTCATGACTGTGTGTGCAATAAGCGTGGACAGACTTCTCGCTTTGCTAACGGGTACGAGATATCGACATGTGGTTACCTTAACACGAGTTCGTATTTCGCTGCTGTTTCTTTGGATTTTCTGTTTATCTACAAGCATAACACTCCTGTTGAAGTCCAGTGCTCGCATATACTCTGTCATCAGCGCCATTTGCATAGCTTTGGGGTTAGGAACCTCAACGTTTTGTTACGCGAAAATTTTCGTCATTCTTCGAGGTCATCAGAAAAAGATAAGCGGCAATCGGGACCAAGGCAGCAACAACAACAGATTTTCGCTTACTCGTTCTTCGATAAACTTAAATCAATACAGAAGATCAGTCTCGACAGCTCTTTGGATAAATCTCACTTTGATAGCATGTTACTCACCTATTGCATTAGTTCTTGTACTCAGATCTATCCCCTCAATTTCATTTTCAGCGTTTATCGTTTCTTTTGGAGCGGCTCCTTCGCTTGTTTACTTGAACTCCCTTTTGAATCCTATTCTTTACTGCTGGAGAATTAAAGAACTTAGAGCGGAGGTGAAAAATATTTTGAAGACAGTTGTTTGTTGATAAAATCATTCACCCCACGATCGCAACACGATTCTCCTTACTTGCCGGCATACATTATTAGAAAGTTAGTTCTGAGAATTTAGTTTCAAATCAGACATAGCTGCCCTCCGGTTGATAAGTTCTCATGTTTTGATGATCTTTCTGCTTGTTAATGTTTGGATAATTTCCGAGGAAATAAATCCTCCAAATATCAAAGGCTTAATAAAAACAAAAAAATAAGGTTTTTTTACCAAAGACTCTCAAGTGCTTAATTTAAGCTTAAAAGTTATGTATCCTTAAGCGATTTCAATTTCTTTTTTCCAGTGTAGTTATCTGTAAAAGCACGCAAATGAAGTGAGCAAGATAGAAGGTGCTGTTCAGCGCTTGCAAGCCCTCACCAGGATAAAAAATGGAACGGAAAACTCTGGAAAGAATATTTAGCACTAAGTGTTAAGTAGCCTCTAGCATTTATCGTTAGTTCCCAAGCCATACGCGGTAACATTAGACCACCTGTTCCAATCTGAACTGTGTGGAGAAATCAAAGAGGAACATGCTTTCCCAAACATAATATTTCAGTGAAATGCTTTTTATAACGAATCTTCAAAGTGACGGAAATACTTCCAATATAATAATTGGCTATAATTAGTCACATGATGACTATACATTTTTAGATACAGAAAATAGATAATTATCATTATAACTTCTACTATATAAATTTCAGTTCCCTTTTGATCACTCATTTAATAAAACATTCATTCCGGAATCCTTTAAACCAAAATATGGAGAGACGTGCGCCGTAGCTCAAGAAAATCATCTTGCTTGTTGATATTCTGGCAAAAATTTTGTAAAGTGACGCAATCCGTAGATTAAGCAGCTATGAATTCGAAAAGGATCTTTATACTTAAAGAAATGGAGACGGAAGTTATATTGATAAAAAAATGTAGACATAAAATGAATTGAACGAAGGCAAGGTTTTGTTGATAGAGTTTATTTGCATTTGTTGTCATGACAACTACAAAAAGAAATGATTGAGACAAATTTGCTAAATATTGGTCAGAGACAGTGAAACAGAAAATTTGATAAAGAAATAGTCAGAGAAAATAAAAGTTTATTAATATTTGAAATGGATAACGGCTATCAAGTAAGGAAAGCCAATGGCAGAAAAAAATCTTTGATCTAACGACCGGCAAGGACCGGTTGGCAATGAAGATGAGGATAATAATATGATGAAGATATCAAAGAGATTTGACCCAGAAATGGGTTTAATTTAATATTCCACCTTCCCTCGCGTCGCAAAATCAATCTACAGCGCAGAATATGCTGGTGTCTGTATAAGTTTAACCATTTCTTGTATAAACATTCCTTTTGTTGTAACTGCAGTTATGGGGAGCATTTCTATTTTACTCGCCCTCCGCAAGACAAGCTCCAACTAAGCTTCTTTTTCGCAATCTGGTGTGTACAGACTTTTACGTTGGTCTGATTTCGCGGCCACTTTTTGTGTTTCACTTAATGGTGATATCTCGAAAGCGCTGGGATCTGCGTGGTTACACTGGATACACTGAGGAACTTGGTTATATCCCCACTGTTGACTATCACCACTATCAGTTTGGATAAACTGTTTGTGCTGTTTAGCGGTGTGAAATACAGACAACTTGCGACACCCACGCGGATTCGTATTCTATTGGCCATGTTTTAGACTTCTAGCGTTTTTACCGGCGTATCATTTGTTTGGAACATCCGCGTCTTCCTAGGAATCAGTTGTATCTATGTAACTCTGTGTGTGGCGATATAAACGTTCTGTTACGCAAAAATATTTCCGAGTCTCCGCCGGTGGACAACAAGGGAGGGTATACCAAGACAGTAGAGCACAGAGCAACAGGAATGATTCCATAACCGGGAAGAGATATTGGAAGTCAGTGTCGGCAATAGATTCACCCTACACTGACTGTGTGTTATATACCGTATGCTACAATTAAAATTTTCACCACTTTTGATGTGGTTCGCCTACTCTTCTGATAGTAGAAGCCTTTACGGCCTCGATAATTTATCGTAACTCGACCCTGAACCCTATTCTTTATTGCTGGAGAATAAAAGAGGTGAAAAAGATAGTCAAAGACACATTGGACAAGTTTTGTCAGTATACTTGGATGTATGGACCGAGCGTAGTAATGGTGACGCGAGAAAATTATTTTCCCGTCAAATGCGCGCGTTCTGACAGTTCGATGATGAATATGATGATGTTAGATGAAGATCTCTCTTATCTTCATAGAGCACATGGAAGGCGCCATCATTCAGTATCATCTAATTGGAATCACTGATTTGAGACTGCATTAATAACGAAACATCATTCTTTTATTTGAACCATTAAGAGAAAGGTCGTTTTGAACATATGATAACGAGAGTTGCAAATTTTGAGAGTGCACGGAAGCTCCCGTCTAGTGTCCACATATCCGTCATATGTGACTGAAACAAAGAAAGTAGCCCCTAAGGTAATCGACGATGCCCATGTTAAACCTTCCAAACGACATGCTTCAGATAGGGGTAACATGTCCACTTCAAGACTGAGACATTTCAGTTCTAGATGTCGAGCCACAGGGTGTCTCACAATTACAGATGCAGAGAAAAGAAGCCATGTAACAACTTTTATATCTAGTGATGGTGGAATCTTCCTCAGATGTGCTAGTAACCATGTTGACATGGGCTTAGTTCAGGAAGCACTCTCCTCTCCTGTAGTTCTCCTTAGTTCAGGAAGCACTCTCCTCTTCTGTAGTTCTCCTTAGTTCAGGAAGCACTCTCCTCTCCTGTAGTTCTCCTTAGTTCAGGAAGCACTCTCCTCTTCTGTAGTTCTCCTTAGTTCAGGAAGCACTCTCCTCTCCTGTAGTTCTCCTTAGTTCAGGAAGCACTCTCCTCT